GGACGTCGCGCACGCCCGAGTCCCACAGCGCCGCGCAGCGCGCCGCGGACGGCGCGAGCGCGTAGAGCCGCAGGCCGGCGACGGGCGGGAACGCGCGCGGCGGCCCGGGCGCGAGGCGCCGGCCCAGGCCCGCGCGCGGCACGCCGTACGTCGCGGCGCGCGGCCCGGGCCACGCCGGCGGCGCGTCCGCCGGCGGCGGCCCCGCGCCGACGCGCGCCGCCGCGGCGCGCGCGATGGCCGCGCCGCAGAAGGCCTTGGCGACGACGACGGCGTCCGCGAGTTCGTCGCCGCGCGCGAGCGCCGCCGCGAGCGCCGACGAGAGCACGCAGCCCGTGCCGTGCGCGCCGCCGGCGCCGAGGCCCGCGACGCGGCCGCCCGCGAGCCACGCGGTGCGGTTTCCGTCGGTCCAGAAGTCCGCCGCGTCGCCGAGGTCGACGTGGCCGCCCTTGAGGAGGACGGACCCGCAGCCGAAGCGGCCGAGGAACGCGGCCGCGGCGGCCTCGACGTCGCCCGCGGTCCGGACGCTTCCCGGCTCGAGGCCCAGGAGCGCCTCGGCCTCGCGCGCGTTCGGCGTCGCGACGGCGCAGCGCGGCAGCAACTCGCCGACGAGGACCGCGACGCCCGCGGCGTCGAGGAGCGGCCGCCCGGAGCTCGACGCGAGCACCGGGTCCAGCACGAGCCGGCACGCGGCGTTGCGCTCCAGGAACGCGGCGACCTCGCGCGCGGCGCCCGCGCCGCTCAGCATGCCGACCTTGACGCAGGCCGGCGCGAGGTCGGACTCGAGCGCGGCGATCGTCGCCGCGACGTGCGACGGCGGCGTCTCCAGCGCCGCGGCGACGCCCAGCGAATTCTGCGCCGTGAGCGACGTGACGACCGCGCAGCCGTGGACGCCGAGCGCTCGAAACGTGCGCAGGTCCGCCTCGACGCCCGCGCCGCCGCCGGAATCACTGCCCGCGATGGACCACGCGATGGGCGGGCCGCTCCGCAGGCCGCTGGCGCGCGCCATCCAGAGCAGCGCGACGAGAACGGCGCGCATGTCGGCAAATGCACGCGTGTGCTCCGCGATGCTGCGGACGCGTCTGCGGCCACAGCAGCGGAGCGCGGCGCCGATAGAGCGAGCGTTTGCTTCACGACTTCTTCATGGTGAAGTGCCCCATTTTAACTTACTGAGTAGCCTCTCGAGCCATTTCGGGTTCGAGCGGGCTGCTACCCCCCTGCGCTCTCCGCGGGCTCGCGTCGTCGCACTCACGCTCACGCGTCGCGGGTCGCGGCGGTGAACGGGCAGCATGCCGCAGAAACTTCAGTTGACGGCGTCAAAAACCTGCGTCCGCGACGAGGGGCGCCCGCGACGAGAGGGCTCGGCGCGGAGGGCCGACGTCGCCTCGCCTCCCGGGGGCCTCGCGCTCGGGGCGGGGCGCTCGGCGGGGCGCGGCGCCGCGCGCCGACCGTCGCGCCCCGCGCAGGTGGCACGAGAAGCGGCTGCCGGCGAAGGCGGACGTCGAGCTCGCGGACGACTTCCTCGACTACAAGTACATGGTGGAGGTGCTCCTGAAGGCGCTCAAGGACAAGAAGGACCACGCGCACATCGAGAAGACGCTGCCCGTGTTCTTCCGCGAGTGGCAGGGCGGCTTCGCGCTGATCAACAGCGCGACGACGGTCGACGACTGCAAGGACTGCCTCGACCACCCCGTGCTCCACGGCGTGCTGACCAACGCCAAGGAGGCGGAGCTCGTGGGGCGGCTCCTCGCGCGGTCCTTCGTCGGGCCCACGGGCATGCAGGTCCTGCACCGGTCCATGCTCGAGCTCGACAACGCGCGGTCGTGCAAGCACGCGAAGGAGCGCGCGTCGCTGCTGATCGAGGAGGTCGTCTTCGCCGAGGGCGCCGACGGGCCGGGCGTCGAGACGGAGGTCGTCTCCGAGCTCCGCGCGGACCTCGGCGCGCTCCTCTGCGCCTCGTCCGTGAAGAAGCACGAGGAGGTGCCCGAGAACGACGACCCGGAGCGCGTCGACTGGTGGGCCGACTTCCTCAACAGCCGCGCCTTCCAGTGGGGCCAGCGCTACGCGGTCAACCAGCAGTGCAAGCTCATCCTCGAGGCCATCGCGGGCGACGTCGAGGGCAACGAGGAGGAGGAGGACCAGGAGTGAGGCCCCGCCGGCCGCGCGCGCGCGCGCGCGCGGCGCGACGACGGGGGCGCGTCCGGGGCGCCTACGGACCTTCGGTCGACCCTCGGCGCGCCGGGGTCGGGCGTCCGGCCCCGCGCCTCGCGATCGGCCGAGGGCCTTTTCTTGAGGTCGGCGTTGGCGCGGCGGCGCCCCATTGAATTGAACATCTTTGCGGGATCCGAAACGATGGCCCCGGGCAGCCGCGCGGCGATCTTGTGGGCGCTCCTGGCGTGGCGGTGCAGCATGCTGGCGACGCCCAAGGCCGGCGTCGTCGCCCCGCGGCTCGGCGGGCTGCGGCGGCTGCGCCTCCCCGTCGTCGGCCGGGCGCGGGCCCTGCTGCGCTTCCGCTCCGTGCGGCTCCGGCGGCGCCTGGGGAGCTGGCGGCGCCGGCGCCGGCTGCGCGCCGCGGCGCGGCGGCGGCGGCGGGCGCAGCGCGCGGTGCCGACGAACGAGACGCTGTGGGAGCACGTCGGGCGGTCGACGAGCGGGTTCATGGAGTCGCAGCTCGCGTGGCTCGAGTCCGAGGTCCTGTCCGCGGAGCAGGCCATCGACAAGGCGGAGGACGCGCTCGACGACCAGTTCCGCGTCGTGCAGAACGAGGTGAAGCGGCGCCTCGAGGACGACGTGCGCGCGCGGCTCGCGCGCGACGCGTCGAGCCTGCCGCCCGAGTACGGCGCCGCGTCGCTCCGCGCGGAACTCAAATCTTCAACCCGACTTCGATGTGCGCGTACGCGACCGTTTCGACGCAAGGCTTTCTGCTGTGCTTCGAGAACTCGATGAGAGCAATCGATTCGTCCAAAAATCAGCCGAATCGACTTCGAATTGACCGAGCGAGAGAGTTCCGAAGTTTGGTGGGGACCCCCCAAACCAGTGGTTGATTCCCACACAGGTGTCGCTGTGCCGCGCGGCCAACGGCGCGCGCGCGCTCTTCCGCGGCCGCTCCGCCGGCGGCGAGGCGGCGGCGGCCCACGCGGCCGTCGCCACGGTCGCGCGGCTCTACTCGCTCTGCCTCACGGGCGGCGACCCGCGCTTCTTCGACCGGCTCGGCGCGGGCAAGCGGCGCGTGCGCCGGAGCACGGCGCTCACGGCGGCCTTCGCGGCCGTGCCCTACCCGACGAGCGCCGCGGGCCGCGCGGCGCGGGGCCTCCGGCGCGTCGCCCTCTTCCTCGTCGTGCGCCGGCTCGCGCTCGCGAAGCGGCTCCCCGTCGCGGAGCACGCGTGCCGCCTCACGTTCGCCGCGGCCGTCGAGCGCACGGTCGCGTCCGCGGCGCCGGCGCTGGCCCGGTCCGCCGACGACGACCGCCACGAGTGGTACTCGACGGCGCGCGCCGGCGCGCGGGGCTCGACGCGCGCCGGCCCGGGGGGGGGGGGGGGGCGGGCGCGGGGCGCCGCGCGCGCGCGCCGAGCGACCGCGACGCATCGCGCGACCGTCCCGCCAGGTCCGCCTCGACGAGACGAAGACGCCCGAGGAGCTCGCGAAGCGGCAGACGCGGCGCTTCTCGACGCTGCTCCACGCGGCCCTGCGCCGCGCCCGCGCGACGATCCGCCGCTGGCGCGTGCGCTGGGCGTCGCGGCGCCGGCTCAAGGCGCGGCTCGAGGCGGACGACGTCGAGCGCCGCGCCGCGGACAAGCGGCGGCGCGTGCGGTCGCGGTCCGCGCTGCGCGCGCTCGTCTTCGCGAACGCGTACGCCGCGACGCCGCGGGCCCTGATGCTCCGGCAGGAGCACCTCGACGAGCCGAAGCAGGGCGAGCGCCCGGTGCGCCACCCGGAGGTCCTCGTCGTGACGCGGTCCGCCCTCGGGGCCTACGAGCTGAGCCGCGGCCTCAAGGCGTCGCTGCGCTTCGCGCGGCCGTGGATCCTCCGCAAGGTCCTCGCGGCCGTGCTCCGCGTGCGCCGCCGCCGCGAGGCGCAGCGCGTCAGCGGCAAGCCGCCGTCGCTCGCGTCCCGCGCCGCCTCGAGCGCCGTCGTCGGCCTGGGCGTCGCGGTCAAGACCTACGTCTTCGTCGTCGTCAAGTCCGTCCCCTGGGTCGTCGCGCTCGGCTGCACCAAGGCCGGCGGCATCATCGGGCGCTACATCTACGGGCGGCTCGCCAAGGCGCTGCCCGGCGCCATCGTGCGCGCGCCGCTCAAGCTGCCGAAGATCCTCGCGAAGCGCGCGAAGAAGCTCGGCGGGCGCCTCGACGCGGACGGCGACGGCGACGTCGACGTCGACGACATCTTCCGACTCACCGTCGGGAAGCTCCGCCACGCCGTGCCCCACCGGAAGCACGGCGATTAAACGGCCGGGCCCCGGCTTGGGCTTCGCGCGGAACGGAGCACGACGATCGAGCTTCGCGTATCCCGCCGGCGCGGCGCACCGGCGGCCGCGTCACGCGATCGGCGACCTCGCCTCGTCCGTGGCGCGCGGCTCCCCCGACTCTCTGCGTAATTGTCTTACGTCGACCTACTCGGGTTTGCTTGCCCGAGCGGAATCTTGGCGCGGGCCTGGGGAGTATGTCCAGGGAAATGGGGAGTATGTCCAAGGCATGTCCAAGGTGTCGCCGCCGGCCTCGGTAGAGAAGCGCGGCGGCGGCGGGTTGAGCTCCAGGAGCACGGCTGGGAGCATGTCCATGGAAGGAAACTAATTTCGCATGGAGACGCACGTCACCGTACTGAACACACCGTCGATGCCGCATTTTGCGTAGCCGCCGCCCGAGTAGCCCGAGTTGCACATCACATGCACGATGTCGTTCGTGTAGCCCTCGATGGCGCCGGGCATGGCATAGTTCGAGTTCAACACAAACGTAGGCGCGCACGCGTTGGCGGTGCACGTCACCGTACTGAACTCACCGTCGGTGCCGCAAACGGCGTCGCCGCCGCCCGAGTAGCCCGCGTTGCACATCACATGCACGATGTCGCCCGTGTAGCCCTCGATGACTTCATGGTCCGAGTTCGACACAGACGTAGGCGCGCACGGTCCGATTTCGCAATCGTCGACTCCGTAAACTCCGTCCGATGAGACAATCGAGCATGAGTCTTCACCGCCACCGCCATAAACCATACTAGTGTACTCTCCGTAGATGGTGATGGTGTCGTCGCCGGGTTCTTCACTGAGCGCTGCGTCACCGTAGATCCGGTGATTACCATCCCCCGTGACCGTGATCACATCATCGCCATTGTCGCCGCGGATTCGCCCGTTATAGTCGCCTCTGACCGTGATCACGTCATCGTCGTCTCCGCCCGAGACGAAAAATGCATCTCCATTGCCCCAGATGTACCCGTTATGGTCGCCCGTGAGCGTGAACACGTCAGCGCCGTCGCCGCCGAACAAATTGGTGTTTCCGTATCCATCGACCACCATCACGTCGTTACCGTCCATTCCGTAGATCATGGTGTTACCGTTGCCCGTGATGTGCAGGCAGTCGTCGTACTGGGACAGAAAAACGTTGTTGACGCCAGTAGCCTCGCCCGAAAAGCACACGCATTTGTTTGCATATCGATAGTCTGTGTCTGAGGTGACACGAATTCTGGTGCAGTCCGGGCAGCACATGGCGCAGCCGTAGCCGTCGAGGAAGCACTGAGCGGCGGCCTCGGCGGCGGCCGTCGGGTTCGCTGTGGGCGTGCCCGTAGGCGCGGCCGTACTAGGCGCGGCCGTCGGAGCCGCGGTCGGCGAGAGCGTGGGCGCCGCCGTGGGGGCGGCCGTCGGGCTGGTCGTGGGAGCCGAGGACGGCGAGAGCGTGGGCGCCGCCGTGGGGGCGGCCGTCGGGCTGGTCGTGGGAGCCGAGGACGGCGAGAGCGTGGGCGCCTCGGTGGGGGCGGCCGTCGGGCTGGTCGTGGGAGCCGAGGACGGCGAGAGCGTGGGCAGGCCCGTGGGCGCCGCCGTGGGCGCCGCCGTCGGGCTGGTCGTGGGAGCCGAGGACGGCGAGAGCGTGGGCGCCGCCGTGGGGGCGGCCGTCGGGCTGGTCGTGGGAGCCGAGGACGGCGAGAGCGTGGGCGCCGCCGTGGGGGCGGCCGTCGGGCTGGTCGTGGGAGTCGCCGATGAAGACGCGCGTCGTCCGCGCGAGGCCGCGGAGCGAAGCGCCCCCCCGCGCCGCGTCGTCTTCGAACTCGCGCGTCGAGCAGCTCTTCCCGCTTGAGTTGCTTCCCGGGCCGGGACACCCGCACGTCACGACCGCATCGACCACGAGACGCACGGCCGCCTGCCTTTCCAACCGCGTCGCGTCGCATTGGTGGTTCTCTTGCGCGTAGCGTTTGACGTGCTCCTTCGCGCGGTGCGTGTAGCGCAAGCGCTCGGCCGCCGTCGTTGGTTGCCAGTGGTACTCGACGATCGAGGTGGTTCCCCCCGTCGGTGGATGGTCTTCGTAGAGGTCGCAGGACTGCACGAGCACGTGCCCCGCACGAGCGACGCTGACGAAATTGGAGACGAGGAGCGCCGGGAAGATCTTCATGACAGTCGAGCTGTCGGGTCTGGTTTGGATTTTAGACTCGGCGGACTTGTTGTCGCGTAGCGTGTAGCTCGATGTACTCTACGGCTTAGAGGGTTGTTGCGGCTTTTTGCCCACTGGCTCGCGATAAAGTAGCTTTCTAGTCAATCATGCCAGTGATCAAGATAATAATTTGGCATGAAGGGTAAGTTGAGTGAGCCTCAAGGCCCACCCCACTACCCTAGTTTACTAGCTAAACTCCCTCTCTCTAAAATAGGTTCGGCTGGCCACGGGGAGAAAGAATTTCGCCGGCGGGCTGCTTCAGCAGCGCCGGCCAGATAAGAGCATAAGGAGCGAGTAGTTACTGAGCTGCAATAATAAATAACAGCTCATTCTCCCTCTCCTCTGGGCGCTACTTTCCTGGCTAATCGAAGATTACCTGTACAAAGTAGCTTTCTAGTCAACCAAGATAATAATTTGGCATAAAGGGTAAGTTGAGTGAGCCTCAAGGCCCACCCACGCGAAGTCCCCAAATCCGCTCGATTTGCTGGACGTAAAACAAGGTCGCAATGGTAGCATCCCCAGGGCCGGGGCTAGGCTTCCTTGCCAGCTTCTTCGTTAACTCCTCCGTAAACGCCCTCCCCTCATAGAGAGGTGGCGCGCTTCGCAAATTTTCAAGTACGCTGGTTGATCCACTGCCCATGTTTGTGCATCAGAGCCTCTGCACACTCATTACCAATGCGTTGCTTTCAAGTTTGGCATTGGTTGAATACGAGGCTCTCCGATCAAACAATTGCACGATACATGGCCAGTCTATTGTCACCGGGGAGGGCGTCGGGCCTGGGGCTCAACGTCACTACAAGACGTGTTCTTCGGTCGCGCTAAGGCGTGAGCTTCTTCAGACGGCGTTTAGCTGGCTCCATGGCCACCGTTTCGATAGGGTGGCGGAATCGCAGCGGGCCGATGTCGCCGAGCTCTTTGCCACCACGCCGCAGATCACCTGGGCCACCTCCAACTGGCATGAGCAGTTCGTCGCATAGGCGTTGGCGAGGGATTCGAACCGGGCGCTAGCGAGATAGCAACGGGGCAGGTACTTTCTAACCCTGCTCAAACCCGTCCACGGCCCAAACGTAGCCGACGGCGGCCTTGGCGTCGGCGAGGCGCTCCGGCGACAAGACACGCACGCCGGCGCGGCGCTCAAGGGCCCGCAGGTCCGCGACGAGACGCGTGAACGCGGCGCGGTATACCTCGCGGTCGACCGCCGTGTAGGCGTCGACGACGTCGAGGGTGGCGCGGGGCACGGCCCGGACGTCGTGCGGCGGGACGCCGTGAGCCTCGTGGTGCAACTCGAAGCCGCGGTCGTCGGGCGGGACGATCGGGGAGTCGCCGCCGTCGACGCAGCTTTTCCCCGGGAGCGCGCCGTCGAGCAGGAATCCGAGAAGACAGAGGCTCTCGGTGAAGAGCTCGGTGACGCCAATGAAGCCCAGATCGAACCGGACCGCGCGGACCGCGGCCGTCGCGTCGGGGATGAGCGCGTCGCGATCGGCGGCGTGATGCGAGCACGTCGCGCGCCGGTCGCCGGCGTCGGCGCAGCACGAAGCGCAGCGCGAATCCGTCGCGAGCCTCGGATCGTCGCAGGTCAGCGCGCGGGCGAGCATGTTGTGCGGGTTGTAGCAGTGGTAGTCGCCCTGCGACCAGGTCCCGGGGTCAAAATGGTCGAGCCACGCGCGAAAGCCCGCCGTCCAATTCCCCGGTCGCGTCGGGACTCTCGGCGCGACCCTGCGGCCCCAGTCCGAGCAGCAGCATTCCATGTACATGGACACGACGTGGGACCGCGGCGACCGGACCATCGTCGCCGCGAGGAGCGACTCGATGCCGCGCCGGGGGCGAAGGAGGCCCTCGAGGGTCGGCGCGAGGCGCGCGGACGACCACGTTCGCCGCGTCTCGGCGAGAGCGTCGACGGACCGAAACGGCCGAAGACAGACCTCGCCGTGCCCAAACATCATCGAGGCTCGACGAGCAGCGTCTTGGAGCCACCGCGTCGCGGACGTGCCCGCCGTTTTCGGAATGTGCGCGAAAAACAGGGCCGACGTGCGGTTGGAGTGCTCGCCCGCGACGTGCTTGCCGTCGGGCTTGGAGTGCTCGCCCGCGACGATGCCGTCGAGCTTGGACCGCTCGGCGACGACGTTGCCGTCGAACGCGGACCGCTCGGCGACGTTGCCGTCGAGCTTGGAGTGCTTGCCCGCGACGATGCCGTCGGGCTTGGAGTGCTCGCCCGCGACGATGCCGTCGAGCTTGGAGTGCTTGCCCGCGACGATGCCGTCGAGCTTGGAGGACTCGCGCTCGAGCTTGGACAGCTCGGTCGCGACGAAAGCGTGAACAACCGACGAGACCATCGGCGGCAGCTCCTTGACCAATGCCGATTCCTCGACCAGGCCGGCCTTGCTTGCCGCGGGCTCCGCGGTCGGCTTCTTGTCCAGCTTGACGCCCCCCGCCGCCGTGGCGAAGGTGAAGGCGCAGGAAAGTACGGTCGCGCGGATGATGACGTGCATGGTCGAGATTGCGGGTGCCTGCGGGGGAATCGACGCGGTTCCGCGGCGACGATCGACGGACGAGGCGCGCGAATCAGGGGTTGAAGACCATTCAGGCACGTCCGCCGACGGCCGGGAGGCCGGCCGCCGGCCGCGCCGCGCAAGAGCGAGTCGCTCTTCGCCGTCGTCGAGGTGCCCGCCGCGGACCACGCCGCCGGCGGGCCGCGAGGTGGGAGGCCGGGCTCGCATGCGCTTGGCGTGCACCGAGGACTCGAAGACGTAGCGCAGCGGGTCCCGGCGCGCCGGCCGCCGGCCGCGCCGCGCAAGAGCGAGTCGCTCTTCGCCGTCGTCGAGGTGCACGCCGCGGACCACGCCGCCGGCGGGCCACGAGGTGGGAGGCCGGGCTCGCATGCGCTTGAAGTGCACCGAGGACTCGAAGACGTAGCGGAGCGGGTCCCGGCGCGCCGGCCGCCGGCCGCGCCGCGCAAGAGCGAGTCGCTCTTCGCCGTCGTCGAGGTGCCCGCCGCGGACCACGCCGCCGGCGGGCCGCGAGGTGGGAGACCGGGCTCGCATGCGCTTGGCGTGCACCGAGGACTCGAAGACGTAGCGGAGCGGGTCCCGGCGCGCCGGCCGCCGGCCGCGCCGCGCGAGAGCGAGTCGCTCTTCGCCGTCGTCGAGGTGCCCGCCGCGGACCACGCCGCCGGCGGGCCGCGAGGTGGGAGGCCGGGCTTGCATGCGCTTGGCGTGCACCGAGGACTCGAAGACGTAGCGGAGCGGGTCCCGGCGCGCCGGCCGCCGGCCGCGCCGCGCGAGAGCGAGTCGCTCTTCGCCGTCGTCGAGGTGCCCGCCGCGGACCACGCCGCCGGCGGGCCACGAGGTGGGAGGCCGGGCTTGCATGCGCTTGGCGTGCACCGAGGACTCGAAGACGTAGCGGAGCGGGTCCCGGCGCGCCGGCCGCCGGCCGCGCCGCGCGAGAGCGAGTCGCTCTTCGCCGTCGTCGAGGTGCCCGCCGCGGACCACGCCGCCGGCGGGCCGCGAGGTGGGAGGCCGGGCTTGCATGCGCTTGGCGTGCACCGAGGACTCGAAGACGTAGCGGAGCGGGTCCCGGTCGCGCTTCGGCGCTTGGATACCCGAGGTCAACGACTCGACGTCGTCAACGTCGCGCTCAGGGACCACGACGTTGGCGGGCCATGAGGTGGGAGGCCGTGTGTTGGTGGGGGGCGGGGGAGGGTGGTGGGTGAGGGGGGGGTCGACACGGGGCGGGCGTGAAAGATCGAAACGACGAACTCGATCCAGTTTTCGTTTCCACGTTTTCACTCGTCGTTTTTGAACGATTTTTTTACCAAGTATGTGGCTCTCGCGGCGAGGGGGAAGGGGCGTGCTCGCGGGAGCCAATCGGGGGATATTTGGACGCGGAAGGAGACGATTGCGTGCGTTGAGCTCAAACTTCGACCTCGAAAGATAGTGCAATGAACGTGCAATCTAGGGGTATCCGGCGCCGCATCATCGTCGCCTGAACTGCCCCGCGCGCCACACCCCTCGGCGCCCGCTGTCCGCCTGCGGTTCCTCCTACGTTTAGAGACGCATCACGGTAATAATCCAGGGGAGGTCGCGGGATACCTCGGCGAACCGAGCTTGCCGGCGGCGCAAGGCCGCCGACTACGAGGCACCCTACCTCTCGCAGCCTGAGGCTGGAGCGGCACTGGGCTCTCGAGATCCGTGCGCGACACGCTGCCATCCCGAGGGGTTGCCGCTCCGGGCCGGTCGACGCCCGAGGACGCGGGAGGTTGTGGCTCTGGATCCGTCGGGCCCGGGTTTCGGGACCCGTCCGCGCCCGGGAGCCCGCGATCGCGCCGGCATAGTACGCTAGGTTACGGGGCGCCGCGGCCCCGGCTTGGGCTTGACGCGGAACAGGGGCGGTCGCCGCCGCGTCCGCTCGAGGATCTCGCCGAGCTGCTCGTCGACGTTCGCGTCGATGAGCGCCTCGTACTCGTCCGGGTCGCAGTAGCCGAGCGCGTCCTCGCAGCCGGGCCCCGCGGGCGTGCAGTGGAGCACCTCGTTGCGCGGGAGGCCGAGCGTGACGGCGACGCGGCCGGCCTTGCAGTTCGACGAGCACTTGGTCGCGCACCGCACGAGCGGCGGCGGCCGCCCGTAGTCGACCTCCCGCGCGCTCAGGTCCCTGAGCCGCTCGTAGACGCGCCGCCCGTCCGCCCGGCCGCAGGCGACGGGCGCCGCGCAGACCGTGATCTCGGGCGCGCCGCGGATCCGCGCCGCGAGCGCCTCGTCCGCGTCGGCGAGGCGCTCGAACTCGTCCGCGACGAAGGCGCGCGCCTCGAGGCGCGCCGCCTCCTCGCGGTCCCACTCGTCGTTGAGGAAGAGCTGCGCGCCCTCCCGCAGGCCGTTCTCCCGCCGCCACTCGTCCTCGAGGAACCGGGCGGCCGACTCGCGCGCGCGCCGCCGCTCGTCCTCGAGGAAGAGCTGCGCGCCCGCGCGCAGGCGCGCCTCGCGCTGCCACTCGTCCTCGACGAACTGCCGCGCCGACTCGCGCGCCGCGGCCTCGCGCGCCCACTCGTCCTCGACGAACCGCCGCGCCGCCCGGTCGGCCGACGATAACTTTTCGATCTCGCGCTCGATGATCTCCTTCCCGCGCGCGAGGCGCGCCTGCTCCGCGCGGCGGCCGGCCTTGACGACCTCGCTCCACTCGCGGCGCGCCGTCAGCCACGGCCACGCCGGCTCGAAGAAGTCGCGCCGCGCCTTGAGCCAGTCGAAGACGTCCGGCGTCGTCTCCTCCGGGCCGCTGTCGTTGGCGCGCGGGCCGCGCGCTCGACGCGTCGGTCGCGGCGCCTCGACGAAGCCGGAGACGACGGCGGCGACGACGGCGGCCGCCGTCCGGCGCGCGAACATTGCCCGATCCGCGGAGGCGTGAGCCAGCCCGTGCTCCGGGCCAGCGCTCAAGACTCAACACGAGCAAGTTGATGCGAGGCTGAAGCCGAAAGAGACGTCGCCGCGTCCGGCGCGCGAACATTGCCCGATCCGCGGAGGCGTGAGCCAGCCCGTGCTCCGGGCCAGCGCTCAAGACTCAACACGAGCAAGTTGATGCGAGGCTGAAGCCGAAAGAGACGTCGCCGACCTGGCTCTCGTGTTAGTAGAAGTCCCGCCGCGTCCACTGGCAGGCCGTCGGCAGCGCGCCGTCGCCCGCGGCCTCGCGGAAGAGGGAGAAGAGCGAGGCGTTGCCGCGGAGGCCCGCGGTCCGCGAGAACGAGGACGGCGTCTGGTCCGAGCGCGCGCCGGTGCCCTTGATGTTGTAGACGCGCGCCGCGCGCGCCATGAAGATCCAGTCCGCGGTCGCGCCGAGGAGCCGCCACCAGAAGTCCTCGGGGAGCCGCGGGCCGCGCGCGATCCAGTGGCGGTACATGACCTGGGCCACAAAAGGGTGCGAAATTCCCAACTTCAAAGGCTCCTATCTCGGCCGTTTTCCACTCGTTTCGGCTGATTTTTGGACGAACGATCATCTCTCGGAACGGTCTCGAAGCGTGGATGCTTTTTCCGGAACGCGCGCGCGCGGAACACTCACGTTGAAGCGACGTTGAATCACCCTTTTGTGGCTTTGTACATGACCGGCGGGAGGTCGACGAACGCCTCGACGCGGACCTCGTGCGGCGTCGGCTCGCGCTCGAAGGCCGCGCGCAGCCCCGCGACGAGCGCGCGCTTCGCGCGCTCGTTGTCCGCGGAGACGAAGACCGCCGCCGCGCGGTCGCAGCCGACGGCGAGCGCGCGGAGCTGGCGCACGAGGCACGCGACGACGCCGCCCGCCTCCCGCGTCGACGCCCACCGGGCCGCCTGGTAGTCGCCGTCGCCGTCGCGGAGCGCCTTGCCGCGCTTCTCCAGGAACCTGGCGGGCGCGCCGCCTCCCCGGTCGCGCGCGCGCGCGCGGACGGCGCCGCGGCCGCGGGACGCCGCCGGGCACGCGATGGTCCGGAGGTGCACGGCCGCGTCGAAGAGCGGCGCGCGCGGCGGCTCGAGGAGCGCGCGCGCGAACCGCGCGCCGTCGCCGTCGTAGCGGCCGCGGAGGGCCGCCGCGCCCGCGTCGAGGACGGCGCCGCGGCCGTCGAGGGGCAGCAGGTCCCGGAGGACGCGCGATCGCGCCTGCGGCGCGCCGGCGTCCCCGGTCGCCGCGCGTCGCGGGACGCGGGACCGCGCGCACGTGAGCGCCTCGCCCGCGGCGTCGTCGCGGCTCCTCCTCGAGGCGCCGTCGATCGCGCAGCCCAGGGCCGCGAGGACGCGCGCCAGCGCCGGCCGCAGGTCGTCCTCGACGCGGCGGCCGCCGTGCCACTTGAAGCAGCAGTTGTTCCGGTCCTCGACGTCGTCCGCCGGCCCCGGCGGCGCGGCCGCGGCGAGGCCGCAGGTCACGAGCGCGCAGAGCCGCTCGTAGATGCGGCCCTGGACGATGAGGCGCCGGTCCAGGGCGGCGGCCTCCAGGAACGCGCTCGAGTAGGCGTCGAGCGCGTTGCCGATGCCGATCTGCCGCGCGAAGCCCGCGTCGACCTGGATCCGCTCGCCGCGGAGCTCCTCGTCGGCCCACGGCCGCTTGTTCGGGTTGTCCTGCAGGAGCAGCAGCACGCGCGACGCGTTGGCGCGCGGCCCGTGCACGGCGGACCGCAGGCCGTGGAACAGGCTCGACGGCGCGAGCTCGAGGAGCGGCGAGTAGACGGTGAGCGCGTCGACGGGACCGACGAGCCGCGGCGGCAGCGGCCCGGCCGACCTCGGCCAGCGGCCGTTGTCCCGCGCCGCGGCGCTCGAGAGTGTTATTGGTGTCGCCGCCGCCTCCACGGCGACCTGTTCGCCCGCCGAGGCCACGCGCACCGCGCCGCAGGGCCCGATCAAGCCGCGCGCCATGCCGACGCCGTCGCGCGAGCGCGCCGGCAGCAGCTCGTGCCGGCGGTCGTGCCGGTGGTCGTGCCGCTGGCGCGCACGGTCGTGCTCCTGGCGCGCATGGTCGTGCTCCGGGCGCGCCAGCGCGGCCGCGAAGCACACACACACGACGATGCGCAGCATGTCTCACATCGTGATGGGCAGCACCGAGGCTGCCCGCGGCGCGGCGGCGCGCCGTCCGGGCCGCGGCGCGCCGGCGGACGCCGCTCTCGGAAAAGAGCTTCGCCCCCCCACGAAATGTCCCGCGACGATGGCTCCTACTCATATGCGCGCCTGTCGTCGCTTCTTCGCGCTCTCGGTATGCTCCGAGCCCGCGCCCTCGTACTTCTTTCGCGCGCTCAGGCGCTCTTCTCGTCGCATCTCGAGCTCGTCGTGCTTTTTTTGCCATCGGTCGTCGTCATTCCTACGTTGTGTTCGCCGTTCCTCCTCGGCTTTGGCCTGCTGCTCCGACGCCGCGTTGAGGCATTTTCGTCGCGCGAGCACCTCGTTCGCGGCCGTGATCCACGCGTCTCGCGCGCCCGCGTCGGCCAAGACGAAGTCGAAGGACTCGCTTTGGCATACGATGCGCAGGCCGGCCTCGCCTTTCGGCTCCACCGCGATCGACGCCGTGGACGCGTTGGAGTGCTTGATCGAGCTCGCGCCGACGGTGCGCCACGAAAACCGCGACTCGTCCTCCGACAGCCGCAGGTGGACCTTCTCGCTGGAAAATCTGAACTGCTGCGCGCATTCGACGCCGACCTGTGGAAGGCTCGAGGGTCTGGTCGAAGTTTCGAGGGTCTGGCAAGCCCCAACGCACCATCAACGCCTCCGTGCGCTTTCGCACGTGCGGATCGGGTCGCGCCGGCATGGCCGAATCCTCGAAGCAGCAAGGGCCCGAGATCAGATTGCCCATATCGTAGATCTACGTGCGGCGGCGGCTATGGATGGCCCATCGGCAGCCCCCCGCGCTGGATGTTGAAATCCACCTTATGCTTTTACGCTGGGCGCTGGCTATGGATGGCCCATCGGCGGCCCCCGCGCTGGGTGTGAACAAGTTACGGCTAATGTTTCCTCAGCCTCTGTGGCCTGTGGGCCTGTGGCTGCGCCCGCCGCGCGCAGCCGCGCGACGCGGCGTAGCGCGAGCGTTTCGAGATGCTGCAAGTAACAATAGAAACGAGCGGTGGCTGGCGCGGCATCCAGTGGGTGCCGTACGAACTGCATCTCGGCAAAGAGGGCGCGGCGCCGGTTGTGGAGCGTCGGCCGCAGAAGCGCGGCGACGCGCAGCGCGGCGTGCTGATCCGCGTCGACCAGCAGGGCGACGTCGTCGCGGTGTCGATCGCGACGCTGGCGACCTACGAGTCGGCGGTGCGCGCGCGCGTCGTCCCGCGCGCGGAGGCGACGTGGCGCGTCAAGTCCGCGTATCCCGAGGCGCTCGTCGCGGCGCTCGAGGCGCATCGGCGCCCCAAGCGGGAGGTCGCGCCGGCGGCCGAGGCGCCCAAGGCGCCGGCGACCGAGGCGCCGCGCGCGCCGGCCCCGGCCGCGCCGCGCGCGCCCGCGAAGGCCGCCGAGGACGCGGCCTTCGAGGCGCTCGCGGCCGCGCGCGGCGCCGAGGACGCGGGCGACGCGGCGGCGGCGCGGCGCCGCTACGGCGACGCGTCGAGGCTGCTCGAGGAGGCCGCGGAGGCCCCGGCGCGCTCCGCGGACGCGCGCCGCCTCCTCCGGGCCAAGGCGGAGGAGTTCGCCGCGCTCGCCGTCGAGCCCCTTCCCCCGCCCCCGCCCCCCTTCGACGAGGCCGACCCGGAGCCGTCCGACGCGCCGGCGCCGTCCCTGGCGAGCATGGAGCAGCGCTACGAGTCGCTGCAGACGAGCGACCTCGAGCGGCGGCTCGCGGCGCTCGACCCCTCCAAGGGCAGGGCGGCGCCGCCCATCGAGAGCCTCCGCGAGCGCCTCGCGGCGCTCCGGGACGGCGACGCGTCGGGGCCGGCCTTCCGCGACGCGCCGGACCTGTCCTGGCTCGACGACGAGGACGACGAGGACGACGACGCGATCGTCGCGCGAGCGCTCGAGGCCGCGCGCCTCGAGCGCCGCGACGCGTCGGCCGACGGCGACGCCGCGATCCGCGAC